CCTGACTCTCAGACTCGAATCAATTCAACAGCCGAGCAGGCTGATTTACTAACATTCGTGGAATCATTTCCAATCAGTTCTCCAAATTTTTGCCGTCCCAGTCCGCGTCCTCCCATAGGATCTCGACAACTGAACCGCATCTCTCGATTGGATCAAATACGTCAATGAAACCGAACCCGAGAACGAGCTATCTTTAACAAGGACATCACTTCTTTCAACAAACTCGGTGCGTATATGGCCCAATTTTGGACTGAAGCTGCTCTGGTTAATAACTGTGCAGTTATTGATAATAAACCAGCAATACCAGAACCTCTTCGACAAGCTAATCTCACTCGTCTTCATCGTTCTCACCCGGGACAAGAGGCTATGATGGCGGCCTCTGAATATCTCTGGTGGCCCTTTATGAACCGTCAGATCATTGAAACGTGCGAGAAGTGCCGTGAGGGCACCTTGTTTGGTAAGAATCTTAAACCCGCGACAACCATTAATACTGCGCAACCTTTTCCTAGTCTGTCTGGACCCAATCGGGAAATACAGCTAGATTTTGCTGGTTCCATACTTGATGATAAAGGTTCTAAGATCTTTCTTTTGGTAGCAATTGATCAGTTCTCTAAGTTTCCTTCAGCTCTTATTTCTAAAACTACTGGGACTAAAAAGATTACTTAATTTCTTGCATCTTACATTCGTATTCATGGTTTACCTCACTCTATTAGAACGGATCATGGTTCAGGTTTTAAAAATAACTTGGTGCAAGGATTTAGCTCTAGCAGAGGTATCAAACATATCCTCTCACCAGTCGGAGATCATAGAGGCAGTGGTTTGGTTGAACGAACGGTTCAAACCATCAAGAAAAAACTGGGTGTTGCAAAACTCGATCCTAATTTCAAAAACTTTAACGAAACGATTCAAAAAACACTTGAAGATATACGCAAGAGTAATCATTCGGTGCTTAAGAAATCACCTTTTGAACTACGGTCGTAAACCTAATACTGAATGGTCACAGGCGTTTAATAATGTTGTTCAATCTGATACTTCAGCCCAGGTACTGGAGCGGAACCTCCTAACACCAGACCAGATTGACAGCCAGGACTATAGCAGGGACAGGGCAAAAGTTGTTCCTCGTGGGAGTACTAGTCCAACAGTTCCTCACCGCTTCAAACCCTTGTTTTCACTGGACGGAAATGTGGCAGATAGTGAACCCTACAAAGCGTTGGCTGAACTCGCTCGAGCGGCAAATACGTGGTCACAGTTCAAGCGTAACCTTCCACCGGATGGGGGAAAAAAGGTTCTCAAGGAACTAGCAACCCGCATTCGGACCTCGCTCATTCCCTCAAGTCAGGCCTAAACCACAAAACTCTCCAATTTCCGGCGATAGGAACGCCTCAGGCGGCACAAGTTAACCCCAGACGTTTACCAGCTGTGCGACCCCGCCGACTGTCGAAAACAAGTAAACTAGAAAACCTTCTAATGTCTGATCTTAGTCGAGTTAAAGTCTTTAGGAAAATTATAGATCGTCATTCGGGGAAACCTCTTTATAAACTGTCTAAATTTAAGGTTGTTCGCGTTACTGATCATATTTATGATACAGACACTGGGAAAGTTTACCGGAAAAATCATATTTGCCTCAAACCTAATTATCCGTCTACCGTTTCAGTTGCTCCAAACACTCTAGGTGATGGCCTGGAAGCCTCGAACTCTACCTCTCGGGGTGCAGTTAAAAGGCCAGTTACAAGGTCTCAGCCTGTGCTACTAGAACAACGGCCGAACAATCCGACTTTATCTACCCCGATGGTGGATCTCACAGTGGACTCCTCCAGTGAGAGTTCAGTTGGATCAAACGGCGGACTCCAAGTTATGCGAGATTCTTCTCCTGTGAAAAAACGTCAGAGGCTTCAGTGCGACTCACCTCCGGTCACGTTTGCTCATCAGCCAGTCATCAGCAAGTCCACATCGCAACACCACACTTCAACAAGTGTTACCTGCTCTTTACCGGCCGCCTCTACCGCGCAACTCAATAGCTCGTCAACTTCGGCTCATCCGCAGACTTCTCAATGTGCTGCCTCTTCTTCGACCGCTACTATCGCGGAACTTCCTGGCTTTAGTCCTACCAATCCCGCGATTATTATCTCTTCACCGGAAATGGTGTCGTCACAGGTTCCAGTTCATCCCTCTCATTTTGCATCCTCAGAGCTGCCCTCATCCTATCCCTCGCTCTCTCTTCCTTCCCAACCAGTGGTTGACGACTCCGAGTCAGTCAGGACGTCACATCGTAGTAAGAAGCCAACTCAGTTTTTTGGCGATCCGTTGCGACATTCTGTCAAATCAATTGAGGAGGACCAAACTTTGCCCTCTGAAAAGGTGGCAGGATCTTCGTTTTCACCGCGAAAACCCCTGATTCGGGATCGTTTTCAACCTGGAGCTTCAGTGACTTCACCTCCTCATCTCGCTCAGGCGAAAGAAACTACCGGAAAGGATTGACTATATGTCAATTATAAAACGTTGCTAATCTCAAACAAACTCTTTCACATTGTCGTTCTTGCTTAACTGTACAGCATTTGTGTGGGATAGGGGGGCTATCAATCTTTTGCTTGTCTGGGTGCAGTGATATTATCTCCTAAATTTTGGGTTGCTTATCAAAATTTGTCTCCCGCGGGTAATGTCGTGAGGCGACCTTCGGTACCTCGTTACTTACTTGCCCTTTTGCAGTCTTACTGCAGATTGATGTTAATTTCACTAACAAAGGTCATATTGCTAACCTACACAAAAAACCACATTGTTTGCTAGATGTTATTTTTTCAAACTCAATCTCATTATCACTCAGGATAAAATTCCTAACTCAAGAATATATTTGGAACTAAGTAACACAGTTGATTCAAGAAACCAATTGTTCTATTCTATAAACAATTTAAAGATTGTTCAACAACTAAGTTTTCACTCGTAAACCTCGGCAAATCTCAACTAAGTGTTATGCAATTCATTTTTTGCTTCCCATTCAACGTCTTTTATTCTAAAATTAAGCAATAAGTGCTTCAATACAAAATCTCAAAAAACTTCAGTTTTTATGTGTTCTTTTTTCATTTTTTAACAATAAATTTTTTTTATAATATCTAGTCCTCAAAAACATATATTCATCACTTCTAAATATCGTTTTAATCGTTTAGTTGTTTCGATCATTGAAATGGGAGGAACTTTGTATTCAGATGTGTTTTTATTGTTTTTTTTTGTTTTCCACAAATAATGGTTACACAATTAATCATCGCAACGGTTCACATGATATCTAAGCTCTTCCAATCCGAAATAGAAAGACAATAAAAAGAATTTTCAAAAAGTTGTCCCTATATTGAGAAAAAGAGCTAGCGAGCAGGCTTACAATAGCCTATTTACTCCTAATTTAAGCCGTGAAAACTGAGTAAATTTAATTTTTGGAGTTTTTACCGCCATTTTGCAATTCAAAATTGTCGAAAATTCAAAAAGTTGCAGCAAAAAAAAATATTTTTAAAAACTTTTTTAAAAACTTTTTTTTTAAATGTTTTTAAAACTTTTTTTTCTTTTTCGTGTCATTTTTCTGAAGAAACCTGTTGTTCAGTTTGCCTACTTTACTGCGACTGAGAAAAAACGAAAAAAAAACTATTTTTTTTAAAAACGTTTAAATTTCTTCAACACTATGGTCGGAACATTCTGTGCTACACTCAGAGTAACCGGCTATACTTGTTTTCAGTTGTAAACTCCTAAAACCCTGCTTTTACAACTGATTTCAAGCTTCATCTGATATAAATTGATTGCAGTTTATATAGCTAGGCCAAACAGCTTGACAATATGCACAGAAACGCGAAAATAAAAAAGGCATTTTATCAAGAAATGCAAATTGTTCAGATTTTAGTTATGAAATACATATTTTATCGAAACGGTTATATCAATCATCGATATTGATCTTAAATAACCACTCAAATATAAACATTTCATTACTTACTTCAAAAAATGATCAAACTTTTATTCTCTAAAATATGTTCTCTAATTTTTCGGTAATATGTTTAAAATGGGATTCTTGGCTAGCCGTGTACTGGTTCGAAGGAAAACTAAGAACACTTTTGTACTTGCAAGTTCCTAATCCCACTTAAAAATGACTCTTTTTAAATAACTCCAGAGACTTTCAGAACTAATTCCTAATTTTTCTTCAAGTTCTGCATCAATAGATTATTTTGCATATTAAAATTATTAGGGAATGCAAATTGAAATAACAACCAATGCCATGAAAAATTCAAGATTATGGCTTTTATCTTGACACAAAATTAATTTGACACAAAATTTAACTCGCCGCCAATTGGCAAGCTAGCCTCGATATGCTCAATGAAATTAGATTAACAGCAGCTGAAGTTTTTCTGTTTCTAAAACGAAAATGCTTCATTTGTGTGAGTTGAACTTTAATTTGTTTGATTTCATTAGTTTTTTAAAAATCCAGAATTAACCCGGGATGGATTACGCCAGTGGTGGATCTAGGATTTTTTCGAAGAGGGTGGGCGGATTTTCAAAAAATTGAAAGTTTTATTGACTTTTTTAGGTCGACCAAATCGATTTTCTGAGCTCTCACAAAGCACTAGAGAGTCCCTGTTTTGGTCAAATATTGAAAAAAAACATGCCAAAAAAGCGTTTTTGAGTACTTTTAGAAAATGTTGAACAAAAAATAGCGTTTTTTCTGCGAGCGCTCACCTCCCATAATTAGTATACAAAGGCGCCATAGGCGCCTTTAAAAAACTTTAGAGTTCATCACCAAAAATGGATATTTCAAAATAGTACAAGGGGGGACCCTTTGGGTCGGCAGAGGGTCGAACCCCTAAGGAAAGAGGTGTCCGACCCCCCCCCCCCCCCTGCCCCCTAAATCCGCCTCTGATTAACCGAATAAACTAGAAAATTAATCACTTCATGGATACATATGGATACATGGGTATATGAAACAGGTGTTGCTTATGTGAAGAAAATTTTAAATTAATAATACTACTTACATTATTTTCTTCGATGCTCATAGTCTTTCCAATTAATTGTGTCAGATTTTGACCCCGATCAATCAGCGAATCAATAATGAATTGTGTTTTTTGAGGACATATTTGATGCTTTTTGAGATGCTCTTCTTTATAGATATCATCAATGCTTTTGAATAAAATGACCGTGCTGAATCTAGGCGCCGGAAGAAACAAGCACTCGTCGTCCAATTTCTCCGATGCATGCTCGGTAGCCAAAAAACTTTGTAAGTCTTTTATCAGGAGCCCATTTTGTTCAGACAGTAGAAGTGCCGATACTATTTTTGAATGACCTTGGGAACATTTTGTGAGAGGATTAAACTGTTCTAGCTCTGATGGGATATTGGGGACCACTCTGAGGCTGTTTGAGATTTCCAGCCAGAAGGTTCCCGTTGGCGGAGATTTTGCGACATTATTCTGTGATATCTGTTGCTCACTTGAGGAGCGAAATACCTGAAGCAAAAATTGTTAAAATTGCATCCAATCCTTTTCGATTTTGGATCCTTTCAACCATCCCCCTTAACGGTGAAGAAGATTTACCCTATAAAAAATTATTCGATAATTAGGCACAAGCGATTGTTGTACCCAGGGGCGGATTTAGGGGGGGGGTATGCGGACGCCCCCTCTCGGATTCCACCCCCCGTCGACCCAAAGGGTCCCCTCTTTGTACTATTTTGAGATAATACAAAAGTTTTCTAAATGAGTTAGGACTGGGGTGTATAACTCATAGAGTAATTTCGGATAGGGTACACCGTCTGCTCGTCACGCTATCTTATTTTCGGCCGGATAGATTCGTGCAACTTCTTAGTCTAATACCGATCCTAATCTTACTCTTATACTATCTAGTCTCAGGTTGTTTAACTAGTCTCTGCTAGGCTCAATAGATCTAGGGTATACTGGTTTATTGCGGCTGCTGAAGTGCTCGGGAGAGTCCAACTAATTTCTAAGTTAAATTCAAATCTCTCTGGTGCTGAAGTTACAAGTAACTTCAGCACTTACAAATAAGTGGGTTGTTAGTTAGATGGATCATGATTGGTTAATATTAAATACTTTACATTGGTAAAACATTTAATTTATCCAATCATAAAATATAGTTTAGATCAGGTTCCACCCATCCGGGTTTTACAGAGTTTTTTAGAATAGTTCTTCTGCAATTCGAAGGATGGATGATGGAAGTTGGTGTTTGGCGAACATCTTATTTCTTCTGTTTCCTTTTTTGTTAAAGAAGTTCCAGGAAGCTGGAGTTAGAGACATAAGACGTTGTGTCTTCTAGTGACAACGACTAAGTCTTCGCAACAAACTCAAATCTGATTTCAGAATGGTTGGCTATGTCAGGTTTTTCTGTTCTTCGTGGAGAACTTCTTTTGTGTCTGATCTAGCTTGGGAATGGCGTGGAGATTGTGCGTGGAGGGGATGCCTGGTTACTCGGATCTGTACGTATACTTGAACATCGAGGTGGTCATTGGTCTAGTTCAATGAAGTCCTTTTCTGCGAGGTCAAGTCGTACTCTAAATCCTTTGAGTTGTGGTTGTGAGCGGCATATCGATTGTAGTTGGTCATTCTCTCTCGAGTGTAGTGGGGTCGTCTTGTCTTTTGATGTTCGTCCTTGGTGTTGTATTCTGATCTATATATTGCATCATGTGATTTTATATTTTATAAAACTTTTATTAGTTTAATATTTTTTAATAATGATTTTAGTTAGTTGTTTTCACAAAAGCTTTTTGTTTTAGTTCGGTTATTTTGAAGAGTTACTCACACTTGAGTAGCTCTTATTAAAAATAGAGGTGTGGTCACAAAGCGTGGATGTAGCACGGTGGGTTAGGCCGGCTATAGAGCATGCTCAGGACGTCCTTCCTGGTGGGTTAGGCCAGGAGTGGGAGTATGATTTCATGCGGTTTTTGTGAGGGGTCCTGTTATGTGACAACGTTTTATGTTGGGTTTGTTGTGGTCTTTCTTATGTTTTGTTGGTTGTGTCCTTTTTTCAAAAAGCAAATTGTTTGTGGTATGGGTTTGTCTTTCGACTTTTTTGTGTTTTATTATTTCTTTCTTAGACTTTATAATAGTCTTCAAAAGAATAAATTATCCAGTTTTAAACTGGGTTAATCCGGTTTGGGTACCGTTGGTTTCCTTTTCTTAGTCATGCTGTTATTCTATGATTTGTGGTATTTAGTAAGCTGCGTTGGTTAGTTTTGTTTAGTATATGATTCCTTTCCAACCGGGTTAAAGGAAAGTTTGAAACATGTTATTATATGTTAGAGTTGTTGAGTGTGAAAACTTGAAACTGAAATTCATTATTTTAAACAATTCTTCGTGGGCGAGCTGTGCGAGTGTGGATAGAATTTCTGTGCGAATGAATGAAAATATTAAAAGGTTAGTACTGCAATTGCATTTTATTAATTTACTGCATAGAATTTGGAAATTTACTGCTAGTTATGGAGGAATTTTAAGATACAAATTTTCATCATAATTAGATTTACTGCTTTGGGGGAAAATATTATAGATGAATTTACTGCATTGGTATTAAATTTATTAATTTATAAGTGTAAGAGATTAATAGAATTTTTGAAATCTGTTTGATGAAATTTGCGATTTTTATTTGTCTTTTGTGGTTTTTGTAGGTGATTGTCGGATGAAGGCTAAAAATCTAAAGAAAACATGGATAAAGTATGGTGAGTTTTTTAATATTTTAATTAGTTAGTAATATTCACTTAATTCATACTTACCTGTTAGTCGTCGGGGAAAAAACCGTGGGGGAAGATGTCGTGAATTAGTTCTGAAGTTGTTAGTAGTTTAGCTAGAATGCGGATGATATTTTTAGTCTGAAGCAGTGGCCAAAGCAATTGAAGTGCCTTAATAGTGGTTAGTTCTTCAGTGCCTACTGCAAACTCATAAGGTTTGTTTTGGATTAAGTTATATAATTTGTGGTTAAATTTAGTGTTGTGGATGAATTCTAAAATTGGGATTTCTATAGGCTGTACAAACTCGTGCGGGATAAGGAAGGGTCGGGATTCTTCGGCGTTGAAGGTCTTGGTGATGGGGCAGAAAATGTACATTTGGGTTATGGGGTCATAATTACGAAGAATACCATAGAGGTTAGTGTCTTTAATACAATATGTGAAATTTAGGAAATACGGTGAAGTGTATTTTGAATTGATGAATTGAAAACGATGGTGTGGTTGTCTAGAGGGTGTGTGGAGGTCAAAGTGATTTTGGATGAAACGATAGTAACTGTATGTATGTGTTTGTTTAGTGCGCAACATAATATCATGTGAGCAGTGCAAATCTCTTTCGTGTGGTGCAAGGAAATGAAAGGTTAGTGAAAAGATTTGGAAGCGTTCTTTAAAACTTTCGTATGCTTGTGTGTTTGTTAGTGCTTCTGAAATAATGTGATCAAACTTTCGGTCGAAGATGTTTAGTGTAAATACATATGGTGTCTTGATGAAAAATTTCTCGGTGATTTGTGGATTAGCGAAGCGATCGTCGTCTAAGAATTGATCTTGGTTAGCTCTGATGATGTTGTGATCGTAGTATTCTAGTGTATATTCATTAGCTCTAGGTGCAGTGTGTATTTTTAGTGATTTTTTATATCCAACGTAAGTAAACTGTCTAGCGGTTAGTGGTGTAGTTAGTTGATATAGCATGTCTTTGTTTCGTTCTATATCGATGGAAGTGTTGGATAAAGGTAAGCAAAGAGGGTTAGTGAAATGATAGTATGAGGTCCAAGAGAGAGTGGGCATTAAAACGTATTCATCTACAAAGTTGCGTGTTTCGTTAGCGTCGTGAGGGGTGTTTAAGGTGTATTGTGGAAACGAGGGTAAAGTGATGGCTAAAAATTCTTTAGTGTTAGTATGCTGGGGGTGGTTGATGTATTCACGGGCTGTTCCTGGTTTTGCTGGGAAAGGATGTTTGGGGAATTTTCTTTTAAAAGTGCGGTAAGCTCTATTAGTGTTTAGTGAAGATATAGTGGATGTGGATGATGGTGTTAATGATTCAGTATAATTTGAAGAGGGTGTAGGGGGATTGGATGAATTTGTAGTGGAGGAGATTTGGTTTATGGTCGGGGTGTTAAGGTGGTAGGGTTGTTGTTGGAGGGTAATAAAATTATCTAGCTCTGGGGAGATTCGGGGGGTGTCTGGAGAATGAGATGATTGGTCAGAATGGTATGAGGAATAGGTTGGGGTAACTTGGGAAGCATAAGAGGGTGTGGGAGTGATTGGGTCAGGGTTATTGGACAATATGGGTTGAAAAGGAGGTTGAGAAAAATTAGATGGGTTATGAAAATTATTGGATGGGGATGGTTCTGAGTCGGCAAATTCATCGGGGGTTTCAATATTCGGGTTATTTAGCTGTGAGATGGAGTATAAAACTGAAATATGTGAGTTAGTGTCGGAATTCATGCCTGATGTTACATTGCTAGATGGAAAATCGGGTGGCGGAAAAGCAAAAAGTGGTATGATTGGGATTGGAGAGGTAAGATTGGTTGGATGGGAATTTGATCGGTGTAGTGATCCAAGCTGGCGGCTCATCGTGGGCTAAAAAAATTATTATTTTGAGATTGAAAAGCGGTGGTATGGGGCTGTTCAATAATTTGTTCATAAGTATTATCATCTTGTGATTGATGTGTCATTATATGTTGGACGGGACTTTGCGATGTATTGAGTCGAAAATTTGGATTATGTGTGATTGCTAAATGTCGAAAATTTCGTGGGACTAGGGATAGTGGATGGTTATTTGGTAGGGGTGGTAATTGTGGTGCCGTTGGCGTTATGTCTACATTGTTATGTTCTTCGTCGTATGTATTTTGTCGTGTTGTTATTTTTGTGTTATATTCTTTTATTTGTGCGTCTAAAAGAATTTTGTTTATAGATGTAGAAAAGATTCCAAAAAATCCTGCAAAGAGTATGCGTGCTACGCTTGCTTGTCTGTTTACTTGTGTGTGTATAGCACATGTATTGTAGATTCCTTTTAAGAGTGAGAAAAGAAATCCAATAAAGTTAAACATTGCGTATAAAATAGTCAATTTTTCTAAGATGTAGTAGGGCCATCCTAGAAAATCAAGGATTTCATTCTTGAGTGTAACAAAGCTAAAAATGTTGATTGGTGATATATCTTGGGGACGGTATTTTTCGCCGTTTAGATATATATAATCTTTAATGTCTTTAAAATATCCGCTATAGTCTTGTGTGTAGATATCGGCAAAACCTGCGGTTTCTGCAAGTTTGCGTAGATTTTGGTCAATTGATTGTCTTTGTATAGTGTCCATTTGTGTTAATAATTCTTGGAATTGTTGTGTTCTAATGTGATGCTGAATATCTGATTTTGAATAGATTCCTATTGATTGTAAGTCTATATTTGGGTTTCGAGCGATAGCGCGAATGCTTTCTGGTGAAAATTTTTTGAGTGATTGCATTAATGTGGGATATGGAGTGAGAAGATAATATTTATTTTCATCA